ACTGAAACTATTTTTTTTTAACATCTTTCGAGTTCGTCTTGCAGTCCTTAAAGATTGTTTTATTTGAGCTATGTTTTTTGTCAATGTACTAAGAACGACTTATAGTCTTATAACATGATCTTTGTTGGAGATAATTTTCTTGCGTACTTTGAGAATCGTTAGACTTTTTGCTCGTTTTTTTAGCCCCTCTAACGAGAAACAGTTAAAAACGCTCTCTTTTGTGTGTCAAAAATAACAATTCGACTTCCGGTTTTTCATTCTGTAAAAAATGTTAGGTTTTGTGGTTTTGTTAGGTTTTTACGAATTCAATGTTGTTCGGGTTGATATGAATTATGAAAAGGCACTTTTCCTACGGGAAGCGCTGCCGAAATTTTCTTAGTTTAAAGGAGTTAGATTATATTATGACAAGTGACGATTCTAATGATTGGGGAGATTCTGCCAGAAGTCTACCTTTCTTCGAGCATTAGCTTGGAGGTAGATGTAGACTTAGTTATCAGAAATATTTTGAGTGAGCGTGTGATATGGGTATTTATTCTCCATACACTTATAAGCTTAGTTTGGAAATCGACTTGTCTTGTGTTACATGTCTTTTTTATCGTTTCGATTTAGGATTGAGACTAGATTCAGCTTGATCCTACGAGGATCATCTACAGTTATTATTGATAACAAGTCGGTTGGTTGATCGCCGACTTGTCGGCTCACGACACCACTTTGCTTACACTTGTACCTCAACTTGATTGCCTTAGCCCTGATATGTTATATATTTTTTTTAGGGTTTTAACCGCACTTCTTTTAATGGTCATTATAAAAGACTTATGAGATTTATGGAAGGTTGGACATTGAATGGGGCTTGAGTGTGAGGCGTGGTGTGAGTTACATGGAACAGTAAAGTTGACCACATTGGTGTATGGCAATGTGGCTATTGTGTGTGTCTGTGTTTTATGCAGGTTAGTATTTGGAGCTTGGTATATGGGTCAAACATTGGAGACAGTGAGAATGACAACCATATGATGCACGATTTGCATACCTAATGGGTTTATGTTTTCCCTTCTTTTATTTTATCTCGAGTTCTGATTTGATATATGAGTGTTGGAATGTTTATTTATTTATTTAGTGATTTTGCTTTTTAATTTTGATAGTTAGACGTTGGAGTCTGTGGCAGACGTCAAAGTCAAACCCCTTGACTCCTCTCCACTTCAAAGATAATGGAGTTGGTCTCAAGGGCAATAAGAGACGATTGTCATCACAAGTACGAACCTGTGTAGCACCCACTCTCTGCAGGGTGCAGAAGAGGGTGTGGTTCTCAACCACACTTGGCGGTTGTCCAGCGTCGAGAGATCATTCCCTCAAGGCGCGTGTCAGCCGACACTTGAGTGTCGAATGCGACCCTCGAGATTAACGAGGACTGCATGAGTATGGGTACTACATAGTACGCCATCATTGCGGCTGCTTGCGTATGCTTGCATTGCGAGTCGATATGAGATTAGTCATGCGTCCGCGCGGTTTTGTACTAAGTCTCTTGCTCGACGCCTATCCGATTTCGGATTTCCACATCGGAGAATTATGGGATGACTACTAAGGGACTAGGAGTCTTGTCGCGTTGTGTGTTCTGTGTAATCCTGTATATGTATGTGTATGTGTGTGTGTGTTTATTTTTATGTTCTTTAGAGTGGTGTATGTGTGGTGTGTCAGATGCGTCCTAGTCGACCGACGACGAGTCACACTTGGGACCTCAGCCCCCCAAGGCGTCGATTCGCGTGTGGGTCCGATCGAGGCGCAAAACCGCGCGTACCCCCTATACTACAGCGAACGAGAAACGCCCTCGGCTGGTCCACCTCTTCTATTGCAACTGATTAGCTTTCGTACTGTGGATTGGTAGCTCGACGGGGATACGCCTACCAAAGGGAGATGACAGCTCCCGTAAGGTGGAGGTAAGTCGTGCTTCGCGTAGGCCCTATCCTGTCGTAGGGGTTCGCGAGAGGTATGGTTGGCGCACTCAGCCGGAGCGATTTGAGGAAGCTCCATATGTATTCGTGACGAGGATCAGACCAACTCCTGCGTGACGTGGTCGGGAGGGTCCTGCCCCAATTTGTGCGGTGCCGGACCAATGCGCTCAACAACGTCCCTCACATCAATGATTGCGGCCCACAGAGATCAGTCGGGCACTCCAGTCGGGCTTAACCGTACCGCAGCATAATATTTAGAAGTGTTATTTTCCTTTGCCAACTTCCTAGAAAGCAGTCCCAAGGTCACTTTGTCGGTTCGCAACCTGTGATAAAGAGATGTCTCACCTTCCTACATCTATATATCACTCTACCTGCTCACTGCCTACACTAAGAACGCCAACTCATATTGTCTTTCTAAAACAGAAACGCACTCAACCCATGTGGCTAAATGATACCCCCTTAAACCGTTGATAAATAAAGCCTGACCAGATAGATTCAATAAGTAAAATTTCTCTCAAGAGTTTGAATTGCATAGATTTGTTCGGTCCAATGCAGTCACCCTTTAAAAAATAAATCAAAAAAAAAAATATAATAATAAATTAATCCACATGTATTTTTTTCCACTCACCAATTGCGAGAGCTCTGCCGGAACCTAGGCGAGGTTTTGAAGGCAGCCTGGGGGAACTGACAGGTGTATCGTTCTCAATCTGTATGACCCATTATACCCTTGTTTGACTATTTCCCCTTAGTTTCACTGATTGTATGTATGTGTTTCCCCTATGATTTTTGCTTTTGTTCATGATTAATCAGACTGAATGAAAAGAATGCATGTGTGAAGTTTAAGTTTTCCTTTATTTTTTACTGAAAGCATACTAAGGAATGAACTAGGCAGAAGGTGGGAGGAAGGCAGATTGCATGTGTTTGGCCGGGTCAACCAAGGACTGAGCATTGTTTCTAAGCTGAATGGCCTAGGGCTATGTTTACTTAACTGTTTTCTGAAGGGCCAGATATTGTTTATAAGTTGAATGACCTAGTTGCTCTATTTATTTCTGAGGGTTTGCTTGGCTGAAGAGTTTAATTTTTTGTTTTATTTTGAGGGAGGATTTCTGGTCTAAGGCTAAGCATTGTTTCTAAGCTGAATGGTTGCCTGAAGCCGCGCACATAAGTATAATTTGAGTATAACTGAAAATACATTATTTATACTTGCATGCGAACTGACAGTTGGACATTGTTTCTAAGCTGAATGGTCCAACGCTAAGCCGTATCACTAAGAAGAGAAGAAAAATTACAAAGTATAATTGGAAGTAATTTAGGCAAGCTGAGCATTGTTTATAAGTTGAATGGCTCGGTCCCCTGCCCATATTTTCATTTTTTTTTAAAACAAAATCAGAAAATTATTAAATTTTGGATATTAAACAGTTCAGGGCGACTAGACATTGTTTCTAAGCTGAATGGTCTAGTCATATGCCCAAAGAAGAGAAAAGTAGTTGTGCAACCTGTTCGTGTATATCCTAAAGGCATGCTACACATTGTTTCTAAGTTGAATGGTCTAGCACTACGCAATATGTAAGTTGGGTATAAGGGTTAAATCATCTGAAAGATTCATAAACTATCTATAAGGATTTTGACTTGGGGATGGTGAGAGTACTTACTCCATGTGGTTTGGCCTTGCATGTGGCTAAGTGAGATCACTACCGAGTCTGAGTTTTAGTTTGATAGGTAGTTGCTTTAGTTGCTCGTCACGTGCTAGAGCCATAGGAGTTGTTTGCAATTTTTGCATTTTCTGGGACCATTTGTTATACTTGGTCTTGTATAAATCTTGGTAAGCTACTTTCTCTACGGGAAGCCTTACCGAAATTTCTACAAAACCAAGGACTTAGTCAGATTTTGTCTTTTCAAAGTTCAACTTGTCTGGCTTTTTGGCTTAGTAAAAATATGGAAAGTTAGATAAAATTGGAGCAGACGAAGGGTCGAGCAGGCAAAGAGTTTGTGTGTCGTGCATGAAGGGGTGGTTAGTTTCCCCTTCCACTGGCAGTAGCGTGTCGTCACGATGTTGCTGGCCTCCGATTTGGTGGCGTTGGGTTATGGTCCTGTCCGTGGCGGGAGGCATCGTGTTCTTGAAGGGGTGGTCATCTGCGTTGGCGTCGTTGTGTGCGTCGCCCCGTTTTGTGGAACTGGGGAGCTCATGGCGAGGTGGGTGTTTCGCTGAGGGTTGGCGTGCATGAGGCGGCGTGTGTGGGCACACGGGTAGATGGCGATAGCGCAGTCAAATGCGTCGTTGCCAGGGGCGACGTCACGCAAGTGTACGTGGCGATCGTAATTGTCATGTAGTATGCTGTCACCTCGGGTGACATGTCTGGGTGTCAGAGTCGAATCCGACATTGTGTGTTCTGTTTTTCCGAAGTTGGGATCGAAGTTGAGATGAACACTACATTTTTTTCCAAAGTGTTTCATCTTCTGCTTTTACTGCGAGTCACATCAATTTAACAACATTTCATGTGACCTATTTTCTGTTGCATGGCTTGTTCTCTTATTCGACACCGATTGAAACGACAATATTTGCACGACATTGTGTGTGTCATTTGTATTGCCTTCAGTTGTTCTTACATTTGCATTGTCGTCGTTGTATGTATCGACTTCCCAAAGACTCCTATGAACATCCCTCACTTTCTGATCATCCATCGGTTCAAGAAAGAAGCCCTTACCCCTTTCCATGCCCCTGACCATAACATATAGAAATTCGAATGAAACCGGAAAAAAAACAAGCACCGCAAAGCTATAAAATTCATGAATAAAGTTGAAGAATTAGATGTTTGCTTCAACAGATGACACAATGAGTGATCCATTTTCGAAAAGAAAAACAAGGAAAGGTTTATGAAACACCCCTATGACAATAGTTCCACCACAGCAACGACCCGCAACACGAGAACGTCCCCTCCCATGATCGATCCCCCCCCCCCCACAACCACCCCCCCCACTGCCCCCCCCCCCAATCCCACTTAACCATCTCTCCGGGACAAACGACGACCACCATATCCCACCCTGCGATGGCCGTGTCCACTATGCGGCCGTCTTAGAAGACTCCAGAAATTCTTCGACGGCCACGTCGAAGACGAGCGCCACGAACGCTTCATCAACCCCCTCCCCCGGCTTCGTCATCGCCTTTCTCTTCTTCTTCCTCATCCGGGGGGCCTGTACCCAGCCAATCGAGCTTCTTGGCGTCCATGGGGGAAGGCAAGTTGGCGTCATGTGAGAACTTAACGCCGCAAGACGCCCAGTCGGGGATGTACAACGGAGGGTCTATCAAAGTCATGGGGGGTCTCGCCAACTTGTCCGTGATGACGGTAGCAGCTTGCAGGATATAGCGACGCGCATCGAATGAACGATGCATGGATGCCACAAGCATTGGCTTCATTGTGAGTTGAACAAAAACCCATGCGTCGTAGTGCGCGCGATGATCGTCCCCGCTCATCCGTATGAACCACATGGTCGTCGCGAGCATTATCCTCATAGCGTCCGCAACGCTCTTCAACCTTTCGTACGACACCCGCCCGCCATCGATCCCCTCCGCCATGCTCACGGCGCTAGTGAAAGCCCCCACCCGTCGCTGGATGCTCTCCTCCTGATACGCCGCCAAGTCGTCGTCGTTCTCATGCATGTCTTCGATGTCGGCTCGGACGAACAACAGTGGCAACTTCATATCCGTGTCCAGCGTAATGTGGAACACCATGGAGCTCACACATATACACCAATCCTCCCCCGTCCACATGGCGCGAGCGATGTCAGTGGCCACGTGGTTCAATGCGTACCCGTATGCAGCGTGGTACCCCCGTTGCCCGCTCGTCGACTTGAAGACCCACCCGTGGATCACCCGCAAAGCGATGGTCTGCACCTTGAACGGCCTCTCCTTTGCAGTGTTCAACTCCGTTTCATCCTCGATTTTCTGCTGCGGGATGGTGGTATGAGGCAAGACGATGCTTTGACGAATGGTCAGAGGCTGCACTCCCCGTGCCACCGCCACAAGATACAGGCCTGGTTCCTGTATCAACTTGACTATGGCGTTTCTTCGGTTTCGTTCCAGAAGCGTAAGTCATTTACCCACAACTTCGACGCCGCCTCCATTCGAACCCGTGCATCCCGCCGCCACATCCTGTTCACCAGCGCTTCATCGTCCTCCCCCTCTCCAACGACATCCCCTGCCCTCGCGGCATCTCTCGCATGTGAAGCCCCCCCCCACAGCGGCCCCCTGCGCCTCCTATGCAGGAGAACGGTTCCTGTTCCCTTGAGCGACCGCTTGCGAACCACCTGCAACGTCTGCAGCCGTCCGTTGTCGCAGGGTTGCTGGTTTTCGTGCGTGGACCGCAGGCTCGTGCTCGTCCGAGGCGTCGTTGACACGTGGAACGGCCGCGCGATGCGGCTGTACAATGCCAACTGCCAAGCCCTCCCTCGATGTCGCCGCGGCTTCCACATCCATGACGTCGGCAGCTCATGCGCGACCTCCTCCACGTCGTCTTTTGCAGGAGCTTCAATTCCCCCCTCTTTGATTCGGATGCCTCCCCCCGTTCGCCTCACCGTCCTCTTTAACGGTGCTTCCTCCTCTTCCTCGAAGTCGCTCCTCTCCTGCGGTGCAACCTCCTCCCCAACCCATTCGTCATCTGCGGTGCTTCCTGCATCCGAGGGCCCACCTTGGACGACCTTCCTCTTCTTGTTGGCGTTGTGTCGGCCCTTTTTCTCCTGCATCGCCGCTTCCATTGCCTGGTTGGTGGTGTTCTTGCCGCGTCCAGCGCCGTGGGACGACATGGCGCACAACACAACCGCTCGCCGACTAACCAATTGCAAATCCGAAAAGCACGGTTCGTTGTCCATGTCGACGGTGATGATGACGGCGGCAGCGATGACGATGGCGACGAAGATGATGGCCGCGATGTCGTTGACGATGTCGATGATAGAGACGAAGATGACGATCAAGGTGCTGCGGACGGAAAGGCAAGATGACAACGATGGCAGCGATGGCGATGTCGTATTGTCGACTCGACGACAACCACTTGCACGTTTCGCAGCGAGATTAGAGCGGTTAACTGCACGCGCAAGCGGCGACCCCGCTGGAAGGCTTGGACAGTCGAGGGTGGTGGAGTACAGCGCGCAACTACTTTCATTTCGCGGAAAAAGCGATGCACGGGCAGGAGGCAGGAACAGGCGAACGTGAGTGCGAGATGGCGAGAAGGCTGGCGTATGGAGTCTGAAGCGGGCGTCTAGAGTCCCATCGTGGATTTGACGAGGACGCCCACATCCTCTCAAATACGTGCGAGGCGGTGTGCATCTGTCGACCACAACCTTTCTTGTTGCTGTCCTTGGTGAACGGTGGAGAGGGATAGACCCCGCGCGGCAGCACGACAGGACACCAACTGCTAAGCCACACGACGCGAATGGACATCCCCACCCACACCACCCCGATCTGCCTATCTCCAAACCACCCGCCGGCTCCCGCCCCCAAAAACCCCCCCCCCCAACCCCCGCCCCGAAAGCCTGCCCCCTTCCCCCCCCAACACTCCCCCATCCCCGACGACGTTGAGACAACTCCCATATCCCGCCCCCCCCGAACATACCCAACCGCACACCACCCCCGTCCACCCCCCCGCCCCCCCCCCCCCCCCAATACCAAAAAAGGGGGGGGGGGGGGGGGGGGGGGGGGCGGGGTTCAGGCAACCCCCCATCGACTTCCGACAACCGCCACCCCAACCGAAGGAGTTACGTGGGCATGAAAAAATTAAAAAAAAGAAAGAACAGGTTTTCACATCTGCAATTGCAATGAATCGACAGCCACTGTGCGGGACGATTAACAACGAACACAATGAACACATCTGCATCGACGATGGTGTGAGGGTATTCACCATTTCATATTTCTGCAAATTTCGTTTGCGAAAACAACAACAGCATTCCATACAAGGACCGCATTAAAGACAACACCTTTAATACACGTTTGCATTCCATTTAGGGAGATGACCCCAAAACACATGCTGTTGAGTGAGAGAGAGAGAGAGAGAGAGAGAGAGAGAGAGCGAGAATTCATAGAGTCATTAAAAAAGGGAAGTGCATTGTGCACTTAAACGGCACCAATTGAAATCATACACTGACGGAATAATCCGTCCTGCCAACCGAAAACCATCTACGGCAAACAAAAAGAAAACGACAATGTACAGACGACGACTCATCGACCCGATCGGATGACCACCCACTTCCGTCGTCGCGACAGGGAATCGAGACACGGCGCGTCGACGACCCGCACACGGCGTATTATACGAAGGAAAGGCCCACATTTACGCACCATCAACATCCATGGACGCCACAATGCGCACAACGAAGGTGGCAGCAACTTTAACGCTCACGAATGGCCTTCGCCATCTCTAACAGAGCATGGCACATAAGTTTGCTAACTTCGTTTGACACTGCGTAGTGCTTTTTCAACACTTCGACCTCCGCTTCCAATGCCTCGCACTGCCGGATTTGGATGGAGCATTGACGCTTGCTGGCGCTCTCCATCGTTGACACCATTAGCGCCTCGTGCTTCTCCATGCATTCTATCATCACTTCAAAAGTTTGTTGCCTCGTGCTCTTCCTTTTCCTGAAACCGCCTGGGCCACCCGTCGTTTGAGAAGAACCTTTCGTCAACCCGTCATCGTCCTCGTCCTGCCCTGCACCAGCGTCCCCATCGCCCACAGATTCAGGATCCGCAGAAGAGGTGGACAGCAAGCGCACACCACCCCGACCACCGGTGTCGGCAACGTTCTTGGGGTGTATGGTGTGGTTCTTGGCCGTGGACCCCACTATGTCATCGTAAACCACACAATCCGTGTTGAAATTGAAGCCCTTGGACGTCCTCTCCTTCGTCGACAATTGGAAGAAGTCTTGTTTCCCGGATAAGCCATTGAAGTGATGCACCTTCTTGAACCGCCGCATCAAATTGTCCCACTTCTTCCCACATGGTCGCCGCGTCTCTGTCGACGCCCACCTTCTTCAACCTTTGCGCCACATCTAACCACTTCCATTCGCGCGGCTTCATCTGAGCGTAGGCGTCACCCATCCCCTGAATGTGCGCATCCTGGTCACGTTTAGCCCTGATGAGGGCTACAATGTGTTCGCATCACCGTCCCCCTCGACATCGCTCCCCTCCCCGCCGTTTTTTTGCACCGACGACTATTGCGGGCATACGTCTTCGTCTTCCCGCCACTGCCTCCTATGCTGTCTTGCCTCAACGACGAAACGTAGCCTTCATCTTCCTCCCCACCCTCTCCGTCGTTGTCGTCGTCGTCGTGATCGTCCACGTCCAGAACCGGTGCCTCCTTTTCCTTTTCGTGCTCCCCCACACGCAGTCGCTGCACCCCCCGAGTTATGGATTCCTTGCGCCCCAACCGGAGCTCTCGCCTGTGTTCTGCCCACACCTCCCTTCCGTCACGTTCGTCACCAATATCGGCGAAGCCAGCATCCTTCTCCCCGCATTCACCACGACGGCGGGCCGCAGTCGAACCAGCGGACAGGGGAGACGGAGACTGCATCCACGGGGGCCGAGCGGAGGCACTCCTCGACACAGACGACGACCGAAATTGCTGCCTGGGAGGATCCCTGTTGTTCCCTGACGCCTCCCAAACCGGCACTGGAGACTTCGATGGTCGCACAACAGCCGTCACTTGCCCGTCGTAGTCGTCGGGGTGGGGACACACGACGACTTTTCGCGAGGTGGTCGACGACCTCCCACTACAGAGCCCGAATGACAGATTCACATCGCCATCGCCTTCATCTCTGTTGAGCCTCTGGTGGAGGAATTCGGTATACGACTGCTGATACGCGTCGTCGCGGCTCCCACATAGCTCTGTGGCCGCCCACTCCTGGGTGGACCCACTTCCCAGCAGCACGGTCCGCAACCGTGTCATTCGCCTCCTCGTCGGACGTATTAGGCAGAGGTTGGAAGTGCGGCGGTAAGTGCGCGTACCCAGACCGCTCCGACGGCCTTGAACTCCTCGACAGGGTTGGCCCAGCCCGTTGGCCACCGCCCTGCTCCCCCGCAGACCTGCAGATCGCCTGGCGCCCCTCCATCCTGACGTCCTTGGACGATTGTCGCCTTCTGCGCGCACGTCGTGGAACGCTACCGAGGATGCACACGTGGAACACAACTACAACGACGACCAAAAGGACGACCAGCACCAGCAACGGCAGCCTCTGGAAGACGTCGGCCATGAAAGGCACGTGGACGACGGCAGCAGCTAGAAGACAACTGTGGATGTCGAGGAAATAGAGACGAACAGTGCTCCAAACGGCCGATCAGAGATATCGACAAACGAAGGGTAATGTATCCCGTCGTGGAAGACACTGCACAATCGGTAGAGCGGGGACCGACTGAAGTATATCTGCTAACCGTTGGGCGTCTTCCCGCTCGGGGCCAATGGCACCGACGCGATATAGTCCCTTCTCGACGTCTTGGAGGCCGGTAGGACAATTCCATGACGCCGAACGTTGCCGACCGAAGATGTCCGTCGACAGGCCGCCAGGAACAGAAATGCACCAGCTGAGTTCGAGATTTGGCGTCGAGAGGCCTGCCGTCGACACCCCGATTCTTCCGGATGCTTGACCTCCGAGGGACCTCGGGAGGTCCCTTGGGGAACGTGTCGAAATGGCTGTAGACCGAGGGATCCCCGAGGAAATGTTTTCACATTGTTTTTCAATTTTTTCCCCGAGGATAAGTGGAACGGTGAATTCCTAGGGGGATTTATGCGTTCGAGGAGTGTCTAACGAGCCCCTTTTTATGTTCTTTTCCCGCCTGGCCGTCTTCGGAACTGAAAAGAAAAGCACAAAAAAAAAAAGGAAAAAAACACGACTTCATAATATAAATCCATCGCAATTCGCTGCCATCCGGATTCTCCTGCATCAGTGGTCCGACAATGTCCCGCAGATGTCCCACAGGTGTTTGTGGGACAGTTTACCTTACTCCTTTGCTAGTAGAACCGTGCTCCCGGAGTGTGGCAATAGAAGGTCGTTATGATGACATTTGTTTAAATTATTTTTTGTGTTTACTGTACGGCAGGGTGTTGTTTTGTGGTGTCCAGGGGCCTGGACCCACTAGCAAGGTATTCTACCACGCCGTTCATGATTTTGATCACGTGTGGCATCGAGTGACTCAGTACGGTCGTCGAATAGATCGGATCTCAATGGCCTGGTAGTTTCTGAGAGGGGACTGTAAAGATGCCCACCTCCCGTCGAATGCGATGCGTCGAAAAAAGAAAAAAAAAACAAAGTTGGACTAACTTGGACATGATAGCTCGTGGCTTTGCGTGGGCGGAAAGTCAGGATTTTATGGGCTCTAAAGGGGGGGGGGTTGATTTCTAGCCTTTTTTTTTTTTTTTTTTTTTTTTTGTCTCATGAGAAATAGAACTTCGAATGTGAAATTCGAATATTGTGGTGGATCTGACAAGAACGCTTCCGCGTCTGTCGGATGGCCTGTTAGAGGCATCATGAGATACATGGGATGAATGCGTCCCTATAGCCATTACTTGTTCATCCTCGTGGTTGTGCTCGTGGGCACATTTTATTGCCACGGTACATCATTATGAAGACTTACGTGAAGGAGATCGAACCAACCCATGAATTCCGGTGCACGGCTGTTCTTCATAGTTTTATGGGTTATTTCAATTCATTTTAAATAAAAAAAACGCTCCATTCATGCAAGTAAAAAATCACTTTGGACTTTCCAAAAAACCATAAAACTGTGTCACACGTCGTAGAATACTTCGCTAGTGGGTCCAGGCCCCAGGAGTAATTCTTTTTTTTTTTTTTTTTTTTTGGGAAAACAGTCTCCACATTATATTGCACACAAGCACAAGAGCCCGGAAATCACCCCACAAAACAACCCGGATTCAACAGGAAAGAAAAAAAAAAACATGCTCGGGCCCTTGTAGGCTCATGTAACCTGGACCCTGAATAAAAGTGGCTCTCCCAAAATGAAAAAAAGAAGTAGAGGATGGGACCAAACATCCCAGCCAAAAACCTTAGCTTCTAGAGTGATTTAGGATCTTGACACACTAAACTAGTTACCTGACCCTTCATGGTGGAGAGCTAAGGCGCTCACCATGACCCAGGAGTAATTCTTAGGGCATATTCGCACCGATGCTCTTCTAGATGCGTCTGACGGTAGACTCTACCGATGTACATTTCAGTGAAGTGTTGTGTGATGCTGCTTTAGCCCCATGATGGGCCTCGCTCAAGTAGACAACACACTACTTGGGACCACGAAAATTCAAAATGTTTGACTCGTCAGGATGCACCTTTTGCTGAAAGCGTCCACATACGTTACATGTAGAGTGATGTGCGCTGGAGCGAGGCGCGATGATTGTAGCAATGGCGAACCAAGGCCGACGCTTGGAGCGAGGCCCTATAATTGTTTGTTTGTTTGTTTGTTTGTTTGTTTGTTTGTTTGTTTTTTTTTTTTTTTTTTTTTTTTTTTTTTTTTTTTTTTTTACGAATCACACTTGAATTCATTACAGGAAAAAGATTATTTGAGGCCGGGGACCTCACAAATCCACCCGGTGTTATCCCGACAGCCTCAGTCGGTTTAGCTTATGTGAGCCATACTGCAACCAATCAAAATGATCCTCTACCTAACTGTGTATGTAATGTTTGACTACAGAGAGGTCTTTCATCCTATCTACTAAAGCCATCTAAAACACACTGACTTCAATACATTGACAAAAGAACAGTTGGGGCCGGCCACCCCACATGAAGGTCGGGTAACTACCTACTCAAAACGGAAGGAAACAAGTTCAAACAACTGCCTACCCTGCCACACGGGCCTAACCAGGCGGCCCGGGCCCAGTCTATAACGACCGGGAGGAACTACCTTCCTTCTAAGCAAGCCTCCCGAGGCTCTGTCTCCCTTCCACCCCCAATGCGGTCTACTATGGCCGCCGACGGGAACCGCGCACCGAGGTTCGTAACAAGTAAGGAACAGGCGAGGGTGTGGAAGAGTGAGTGGGGCAGAAGGGGAGAGAGGGTACAGGGGGTTGATAGAGAGGGGGTTACATGATAGTGGGACTGACTAGGCCCGAAGCCAGGGTGAGATCACCAGTGTGCCAGAAAGGGTGATGGCTGCCAACTGGTTGTCCCTGACCCATGTGACCAGCAACCAGTGTCGGCCTCCAGACGTTCGCCCTTTTGCTGCCTTTCTGACCCAGTCCACACGAATCATAGTACGGATCCATGCCTTGACTCTTTGAATTATCGTATGGTCGTTTGACCATTCTTGTTTGAAAAGGATGTTGTTACGGTCCTCCCAGATTACCCATAGGAGGATCAACCGAACAGCTTGTGCTACATAGCCCCTTCTTGTGTGCCTGAACCAAGTGGATGGGATTCGACCATACATCACCCAGGCTTCATCCCAAGATAGAAGAGTTCCAACAAACTTGTGCCAATGCTCCTCCCACCACCGCCATATGCGCCTTGATGCTGGGCATACCCAGAAAAGATGGTTAGTACTTTCCTCCTGTGTTCGACCACAATGCTGACATTTGGTTTCGACATCCATACCCCTCTCAAAAAGCCATACTGAACTGGGGATGGCTGCCGGTGACAGCAGCCAGAGCAGTCCAGATAGCTTCTGCGACGGGAGCGCTGGTAGCTGGTCCCACAACGTTTGCAGCTAAGGGCCTGTGACTGGTTGTTGGGCCGTAGTTAGCCTGTTGAGTGCGTTAGTTGCATCCATCGGAAGAGTTCCTGTTCCGCTTTGCAGCTGCCGCCCCAGCTTGGAGGTGAAGTGGAAGAGGTACTTCCTGCAATTTGCGGCTAGCTCCCAATAATGACCCATTGGGTCGATTCTCATTCTGCTCAGCATCAGCCCGGCCATCAGGAGTTTGTGTGTTGTGGCTCCTGCTTCGACGGTAGTGTGTACCCGAACCAGGTGAAGTTCTTGTTCGAGGTGGACAGCGCATTCACCCTCAGTCTGAGGCGGCCTGGTTTCTTCGGATCCCCTCCCGGTCTCCACTCTTGTGGCAGCCAAATGTCATCTTCGAGTTGTTCCCCTTTTCGTACGACCGCAGAACTTGCCACCGAATCGTGACGGGTGTACCATTCTCCCTCAACTGGGGCGGTGGACAGGAGGAGCTCGCACCAGTGTGGGGGGATGGCCTCTGTGAGTTGGTGGAACCTGTCTGCCAACAGGCGGAGCCCATGCAGTTTCTGCCTTAGAACCTGCTGCGTAATCCATTCTTTCGCCTCACCATCCCAAATATCCACAATTCTAGATATGCCCCTCTCCATCCACTTTCTGCCAAACTTGCCTGGGGTTGCGCATGCAAAGAACGGCTCCCCTTGAGTGTTGCAGATCATCAAGTTGAACTTCCTCTCTCGTTGTGGGATCTTTTCTTGAAGTCGGGAGGAGTGTCCTCCAGGCGGTCCAGCAGGCGTTTGCGATCGGGGAGCGGAGTTGTCTGCGGGAGTAAGATGTCATGAAGACACAAGTCCAGACATCCTCCCTCCGTGATAACGAGAGTTCCTGCTGCAGCACATACTCCAAAACTGCCAGCCAGGGTTTGCGGGTCGCCTGGGTGGTTGCCTTAAGCAGCCATTTGGTTAGTAGCGACAGATTCTGCTTTCTCGGATCAACTATGCTGAGTCCACCTTCCTGCTTTGCCCTCGTAACCTTGGCCCAGGCAACTTTTGAAATGTACCCTTGTCCTTCCTATGCTGAGGGCTTCCAAAGGTAACTGCATTTGTTGTTATGAGCCTGACGGTGGGCTTGGAGAGGAGGCAGACTGCTGCCACGAACCACAGTTGCGCGAAGACAACGGAGGTGAGCAGCATCGCCCGCCCCAGCAAGGACATCTCGATTGCTGTTCGACAGTGTTGTAGACTGGCTTGTGTTTTGGCCCGAAGAATAGCATCCTGCCTTGGTCGTGGGTCTGTCAGCGAAACTTGCACCCCTAAATACCTCTCAGAGAGTTTTGAGGGTATGCGCTTCATGCCCCAGCCATAGCCTTCCAGCTCGTAATCAGCTGGGAGGAAATACGCAGATTTCCCCCAGTTCACGCGGGCTTCAGATAGTGTGGCATATGCGTCCAGAAACCTCTTCACTTCATGTGTTGATTCCGGGGTTGCTTCCATTACCAGGAGGAGGTCATCCGCTATCGCTCCGATAAGCAGGGTATCTCCTTGACCCAAGGTCAGACCTTGAATGCGGGTTGATGTACGCAGCGAGTTGAGTAGCGTCTCCATCTACAGAGCAAAAGGACTTTAAAGGAGGGACACCAGTCGACAAACTTGGTGGAGGGAGCGCGTTAGCGAAAAGGTGGGAGACAGAAACCCGTTGACGTTAACCGTAGATGTAGAGTCCATGTAGAGCTCCTTCACCCACCGCCTGAAGCAGGGTCCGAATCTCATGTGTTCCAGGGTGGCGGGGACGAACGACCAGTTAACTCTGTCGTAGGCCTTCTCGAGGTCAAGCATGGTGACCATCATCTGTCTGTTCTCCCGCTGAATGATTTTTAGAGCTCCGACGACCATCATGATGTTCTCGCTTATCGATCTTTCCTACACGAAGTCACCCTGGTCCTCATGCACCAAGCCTGGTAGGTGGGGAGCAAGTCTTCTCGCGAGAGCCTTCGCAAGGATTTTGTAGGACACATTCAGCCTGGAAATCGGTCGCCAGTTCGGGATGTTGTGCTTGTCGCCTTTTTTGTAGATAACTTGAAGCGTGACGATCCCCAGCTTCATGTCTTCGGTGAGAGTACCTCCTTCCAAAATCCGGTTGTAGAGGTCGAGTAGGAGCGGGCCGACGTGCTCCCACACAACTTGGTAAAATTCAACAGGAAGGCCATCAGATCCCGGGCTTTTTCCGTGTGCCATACTTTTGACCGCCTCCCAGAGCTCCTCAAGTGTCAACGGGCGATCCATGAGGAGGCGAGCTTCGTGCGAGAGTTTCACCTCGGTAAATTGCCAAAGATCGTGCTCCTCTCACAGTTCGTGCAGAGATTGGTCCGGCTGCCGGCGCGATGTTAAGATGTCACTGAAATAGGTTAGCGCATACTCTCCTATAGTTGCAGAGTCCCTTGCTGATGCTGCCTCTTGCTGTAACTCTCTCATGAGCGCGTGTGCTCGCGGAGGACAGATTCGCTGAAAGGTTTCCCTTGTCATGCGGTCCCCCGTGATCATTCCCCTTTCCTAAGCTCGCTTTGCCCATGTTGTTTGTTGTTTCACCTGCAGGGCTTCGAGTTGCAGCAACGCTCTTTCTCTTCGATGGAGCCAGTATAATTCTGCCAACGGCTCCGCGCTCATCTCTGCCTCTGCCTTAGCAACCATGCATCGACAGTCTTCCTCTTGTTGCCTCCGGCCTCTGACCTGCATCCTTGAGAACACGTCAAGGGCTCTTGTAATGATACGGAAGCCGATCTGTAGCCACTCCTCCTCTGAAGCAAACCAATCCTTGGTTTGAGCCCATTCGGTCCAGTGCTTGGCGACCCATTCTGTGATTTTTGGGACGTTGAGAAGATCTATGTTGAGACGGAATGTGCCCGGCCCTCTCGTGACCTGGTCCACTATCTCGAAGGTTGCCACGTCTGGCCGATGATCAGAGAGAGACTCAGTGGCACAGTCCACGTTCGTCAGAGAATTCCAGGCTGCTCCTTTGGTCAAGACTAGGTCCAGGCGCCTCTTGGGGGCAGGACGGTCCTCCGTAGCTGCAGATGAAAACCAGGTGAAGCCCGACTCTTGTGGATGCGTTGTCTTGAATGTGTCGACCAGCCCCCTCATCGTCATGAAGTCGGTCATCATAACTGCATCAGCTTTCCTGGGGGCATCCATTGGAGAGTCCAGGCCTGGGGCCAAAACTAAATTGAAGTCACCTGCGAGCACTATGTTGTCAGCATCAGGCACTATGGCAGGTAGCACCTCTAGAAAGGACCTTCGTTCGCTTGGATCCGAGGGTGCGTATACGGTCATGATCAACCAGCTCTCTTTGCCAAGGCACAGCAACATCCAGGCCCAGCGGCCCCAGATGTCGACCTCTTGCTCCAATATATCTGCTTTGAGGTTCCTGTGGATGAGGATGGCACATCCTCCTCTCGTATCCGTTGCTGGGGCCTACAACTGGGGACCCTTCCACCAGGAACTGCATTGCTGGATCTTGCTCCCGTCCAACTTAGTTTCCTGCAATAGCATCACCTGTATTTTCTGGTCCATGCATCACCTGTATTTTGTGATCATGGACCCAAGTCTTTAGCATGTTTTTTTTTAATCTGCCTGACGTGTCCCCCAACCCTCGATGTTCCATGTGGCAACCCTAAGGCTGGACATCAGTTGATGTTGGCGCGGTTTCGTGTTGGATCCGCTGCGAATCATCTGCTGGTTGTTTTGGTCTCGGCTTTCTTGCTGTTTCTCCTTCCCCCGAGTTGCCCCAAGGTGCAAGGAGTAGGTTGCGGAAACCGGCAGAATGAGGCTGCTTATCGGTAGCCAATGTGGTGCAGAACTCTGCGACAATTTTGGCATTAACATCGTCGGTCAGGAACGTTTCCTGCAGTTCCTCCGTTGCTGTGGAAGCCAACCAGCTAGAAGGCAGCCAGACTACATCTTGAGTTGCCAGCAGCGCGGCTGTGTCCAGTGCAATTTTGACATCAAGCACGCCTATTGAAAAATGCCAGCTGCCTCCATTACTGGCAGTCACCGTTTTACGTCCTATTCGCACACCAGGAACCAGCCTAAACGCAAAGCATTCGACTATGAAAGTTGCAGCCACATACTTCACCGCTTCTTTCATTGTGGGGGAACTGCTAACTGCAACGGTTGGAATTGCCAAAAAACCCTTGTCTGTTCTTCGTGCCATGAATTTGGTTCCTTGTTGAGAGAGCATAAAGCAGAGCGGGACGAGTTGGTGCCTGATGGAGCCCACTGCATTCCTGCTGCTTGAAGCCTGCAGTACTGGTGTTGGCAGCAGAGCTAAATTAAATGGAGGTTGCTGGGGTGGCCCTTGCGAGGATGCTTGATGAGTTGAGGCCCCCGCTGCACTGACAGCAAAGAAGTCCAATTCTCCCTCTTCCTCCTCTTGGGTGATCACACCTTCTCCATCTCCGTTGATCCTTCTTTGCTTTACAGGGGTCCGAAGAAACAGCCTCGGGTCTCTCATTGTTGCGTCAGTTGCCGTTGGCTGAACGGTGTAGCTCCCTGCACCGTGACTGTGGCCTTCAACATTCCTTAGCGAAGTCAGCTGCCCATGGGTCTGCCCACCCGAGGACGAGGCACCGACACCTTGGGAAGGGAAGGGAAGGGGGACAAATTCTGGGTTGTTGTATATGGTGAAGGGCTGAAGCGCCAGGTGTTGGTCTGGGTGGTGAGAAGTGGGGTTCTGAGCGTAATGTGGGGCTGTAGATGACGTGTCAGCGACGCGGCTTGGTGTGTTGGAGTCTGGCCCAGGGTGGGGTGGGTGAGGCGGGTGCAATCGGGCTGCGAGTTGCATTGGAGGTGGATGCTGCGTTCGGTTTATGGACACGAGCGGAGGGGATCTCATGAAGGCTAGGGGGCGACCCTGGGAAGCGAATGAAGGGGTCGGGATAACCGGGGCACGTAGTTGTGAAGCGAGGGGAAGAGCTACTAGGGGTCTAGGCGGGCGCCATGCAGTGGGGCATGATGCATTCGGTAGGGGAGGGTAGCCTGTTGGCTGAGGGTGGTAGGCGACAATCGACCCTTGCAAGGACGACGAGACTGGCGGAGGGTGGGTGGGATGAAGGGGGGCTACCACCGAGGTGGGATAGGGTGGGTGAAGTGATGTGGTCGCGACTGACGAATTGAAGGGTTGTTGAGGGTGGGGAACGTGTGTGGGTTGGGGGGGGTGCGCCGGTGGGTGCGGAACTACGGGTTGAGGGTGTGCAGGGTGCTGATGCGCAGGACGTGATCTGGGAGGCTGCCGCTCGTCTGCGGGCTGGGGTCTGCCCCGACCGCCTACCTGTCCGCGTCTGCCTCCACGCGTCCTACTTCGGCGACCTAGCGGCATCAGCTCATGGAAGCGGGGACACTCGGGGTCGAACTCGTCATGAAACCACCATAGACACTTTTGGCAGAAGGCCGTGTCTTGGTTGGCGAATTGGACTTGCATGGCTTGTCCCGTCGGTCGTCGAAGCACAATCCATTCTTTAAAATTTCGTTCGACCACCGGGTCGCAATCGATTTTAACGTTGCCAAGTCGGGGCTCGTCCTCCCTCCTATCTGGAGGATGCATGTGAATGATCGGGCCCATAAGCCTTTCGACTGCGTTGCGCAGTGAGAACATTGCTCCCAAAGGGATGCGCAGAGCTATGATTCGATAACGAGCTGCCGATTCCGCATCTCTGAGCTGATCCAGCTCTTGTTGCGTCATCCATGGCCGAAAGGTCACTCTGACCGGGCCTTGCCTCGAGGGGATGAAGTCCTGCCCTTTGGCTATCGTCCATTGTGCGATCCTGCTAGTGCGTGCCACGTAAGACATTACGTTGGGCGCTTCACCGTGCGTACGACCACGCTTATGCGACGGGTTGAAATTGATGTCCTGAAACCAAGCATCCTCGTATATCCTTATGAACTGTTCGCGCTGTGCAACAGAGAAGGTGGAAGCTCTACAGTCAAACATAACGATAACTGTTCGATCCTTTAACCATGCGACTGTGGCTGCGTCGACCTCGTCGCTAAGATTCAAGTAGCCAATGCCATCTACAACCTCGATTTCCCCATGCGAGAAGGAAGTTTCGGGGAAGAGGCCGTCGTCGTAGCATGTGTCTAGTAACGTGCGTATTCTATGCAGATCTCCCTGCTGATCTACCGGGAGGTTCGAGCCATGTGATGGGCCGATGCTGACTTGTTGTGCCCCTCCGGTCGGGGGTTGGTTAGGTCCATTCATGATGGCTAGTGTAGCCGTGACGCTTCCGTAGAAGCGTGGGAGCGGGTGGGCCGGGGGCGGAGCGGCGTGGATACACGAATACGCAACGAGCGTGGAGCACAAGTTGACCACGGGCAGTTGGGAAAGCCAAAGAAGGAGGTGTGGGGGATGAGTCGGTGAGATTGGTGGAGGTTAAGTAAGTGATGGAAAAATTGCGTGACGCCAGATCGGTGGGCCGTCGACACTATCCATGGCGACGTAGGAAAACACAGGGTACAGGTGAGGCTGTACTAGGTGGGGGGGGGCCGTGAGTCAACGGGTGAAGTATGTAAGGGGTGTGTGGGACGGGCAGAAAGGGGGGGGAGCACGGGTGGGGCAGCACGGGGTGTGAGAATACGGGGAGAGCGTGGGGAACGGATGTGTGAGGATTTAAGAGGGTGTGTGAGGGCAGGGGGGTTGCGTAGAGAGAGTAAGCCCTGGATGTGTGAGGATGTTTCGTGAGTGTGAGGAGCGGGAAGCATATGGGTGAGGCTGAGCGAAGTGGGGGGAAGGGTGGACACGCTGTGTGATGATCATGCACAGCTTAGTGGAGAGTGTGGGGGAACACCATTGACCGCGGTCGGCTGGAAAGACTGAAGCGGAAATTGTAGGATGAGATGGTGAGTAGGTAGGGGTAAGGAAGTAAGGAGGAGAATTACCTGGCGCCAAGTCGGTGGGCCATCGACTCCGCGGGCAATGCTGATGAGGGCAAACGACGCTGGTCCAAACATATCGACAATATCCTGCTCTAAGTCACGGGTTGGATGCGATATCGCTTCAAACACTTCGGGACAGGGCCCTTACATCGCGCCTGTCCAATTACGGGTGGTACACATTAGATGGAAAAGGAACTTTTATATTCGACCACCGACTCGCCTCCATATCCCCCCTTACTCGACGAAGCGGGAAGGGTTGACCTAGCGATGGAGCTAGGTAGGACGGTGGGCGATGGCCAGTTCACGGGGCTGCGTGCCCGGATGGTGGCTGGTGGTACCTGTCCTCCTGAAACTGCGACGCCTCAACGGAGCGCTCCGCGCCGGTCAAAACGTCCCTCTCCAAAAACACTATTCAGTGAGGCCGTATAATTGTAGCGGTGGCCGAACCCCACACCACTCGAAAAAGTTTATGCTCCTTGCTCCACTACTCTAGACATGTGCAAAACTAGATTGAATCTTATGCTAGAACATGGAACCATACACCGCCATGATTTCTGTCTGTTGTGCATGTCGAGAGTAGTGGAGCCAGGCCGTATGGCAGCGCGCACGAAGATAGAAGATGAGCGCGGTAACCACGATTTTTCAGTTTTTCATTTTCAATTTTTCTTCTCTCTTTTTGTTTCTTCCGTCTTTTGTACCCTGCTGTTGATTATTGGCGGGACGAACTTCTCTGTTGATTCTCAAGTTCTCCGCTGTTGATTATTGGCGGGACGAACTTCTCAGTGCCCGGGGTCTAGGTCCCACTTGGACGAATTAAGAGATACTGACCGTAGATACCAAAGATCAACGGCCAACATCTCCTCATTTGCGAAAGTGGGACCTTTCCCCGGGGTTTTATTATTATTTTCTTTTCCCAGTGCCTTCGACTTGGAGCATTCGATCTTTCCTTCCAGCAGCTAAGGGCGCAGACGCCCTGGACAATCCGGCAGCATTTTGAATGCATATGGACTCGAATTCGTCCTGATGCATCCAAAATGTCCGGGGATGGCGAGGAGTGCAACTTCTGGACCGCGGATCAGTCAGCGGCGGTCTCTCTGCAGCATTCAGGTGCCCGGAGTGCAACTTCTGGACGGCGGATCAGTCAGCGGCGGTCTCTCTGCAGCATTCAGGTGCCCGCGTACTTGCCTCCTGCGTCCGCAAAGAGATCCGCTAAGCCGTTGCCAGCACGATCAGTGAGAGCAAGAGTCGCTCCCGTGAATCATCGGACTCTGGGGGCGAAGTCCCACTCACGGTAGCCCAGATTCTTCGTTCCTGACCATAGATTAAGGCACATCGACGGCCATAGCTGTGGAGTCCAAGCTGCAGGGGACTAGGACCTCGCGCCGGCCGAGCATTGCTGTAGTTGGGAACTTGGGAGAGAATATTATAGCGGCGCAAGAACCGTCARAATCGTCAATAGCGGTGCGGGAGATGAGAGAGAAGCACTGTTGAAAAGTATAGGGCACGTGCTCGGCGGCGTTGAGCAAGGAGAGAGAAGAGAGAGCGCAGTGGGTTCGGCCAAGA